TTCTGGCTTCATTTCTCCCTGTTTTCATAAAGCTTCCAGCTGGAGGGAAAGAAACGTTGTGAGGATCCTCGTGTCCTGCTTCCTCTTTCTGGAGGACGTTTCCTGCACGGCGTCTAGAGAAATGTCTTCATGTTTGTGTAAGAACCAAAGCATTTAGGAGGGACGACTTTCAGCTCAGACATGAGGACGTTTCATAAAAACCCACCCAAAGGAACCCCGTCCACCCCGTACATCTCCCCACCGCGTAACTAGAGAGACGAAGATGCTGGTTCTTCGGCGTGCGGCGGAGGAGAACATTGTGTTCCTCCATCAAAGTGCACTCGAACACCACGTCAGACAATGAAGCAGCTGCTGCCACCGAGCCAATCAGTCCAGAAGGGCCGCGCTGGAGCCGCCCCGGCCGCGGGGCGCCTTCCCATCATGCTCTATGGCCCGCGTGCGCCTCCCGCAGGTAGCAGCTGCCGCGCGGGCGTGTTTCCCTCCCACGGATCCGCCTCCTCGCGGCGAGGCCGAACGCGGGGACAAAGACACGGACCCCCGGCCTTCTGGACAGGGCGGCTGCGCCCCGGCCTGCAGGACGGCTCTCGAGCGCAGCTCGTTGCTCACAACGCTTCCAGCATCAAAATGACTTCCTCTGCACGTGGTGCCGTCCGGCATCCGCCAGCAAAGCGCTTTCACTCATATTTCCACATTCATTTATTTTATTTTCCTGGTTTTAACCGAATCTTTCTCGCCTTCAAAAAGAATCAGAAGGAAAACCAACTTTAAAAAGTCCCCATAAAGCCTCAAACGGGTCACTAGCATGATGTCACATGAAAAGGTTTACTTTGTTTGACTGAGTTTCAGTACATTCACTTATTGAACAATACAACAAGGATCACTACAAACAAACAGTTGTTGTTCTCTGACACCGATGTGACTCACTGTGTGATGATGTCTCCTGTGGTTCTACTGGGTCCAACATCACCATCATCATCAGAGGGAACCTGGTGCTTATTAACTACCTGACATTATAACTGTGGGAGGGCGGGTGAGGGGGAGAGAGACAGAGAGAGAGAGGAGGGAGGGGGGGGGCGTTGAATTCGAACCAGCGCTTGTGCCGCTGGGCGGCTCGGTGTGATTGGTCCCGTCAGTCCGCACAAACAGGGGGCCGAGCGCCTTTTTAAAGAGCGCACGTCGTTCAGAAGACATCGAGCAGGAGAGACGAGGACAGCGGAAGCATGTCTCGCACCGTGACCCGACTCGTGGTCCTGTCTTCGTTCTGGCTGCTTGGATGCTGGAGCACAACAGGTGAGTCCACATCAGGCTCCTCTGGCTTTATTTGAGCTCTTAAAGCTCAACAAGCGCTTTATAATGTATTATAGATGAATACAAATAACTTATTAATGAACTAGTTGGCAGTAACTTGCTTCGCTGTTTTTAATTCACAACTGGAGATGCTTTAAAACCCAGTGGTCATGTGATTACCACGACGACCTGTAGAGGAACATTCAGAGGAGATCCGTCTCGTTACCCTCTTGTTCACTCAGACGCCGCTCTGTTCCACCGCCGGGGAGACGGGAGGTTTAGAAAGGTATTTATTATATATATTATCACATTAAGCTGAATTATGTCTGGCAGTCTTCTATTCTTGGGTCCATCTTCACGTGTGGTTCTCGATTCATCTTTTCTCTTCCCGTCACTTTAATCAACAGCAGCTTTTCTTCTGTCGCTCAGTCAGATCATTTTAACGACGTTCGTTCCTCATTATTTCTTCTAAACTCAATAGCCAGAACTCTGTGGTCACGTGTTCTCATGTGACCATCAACATCTTCGTGTTCGTTTCAAAGGGAAAATAGATCAACATTAATTTAGTGCACGTACTGAATGATAAATGTGTTTATTAACCTGGAATCTCACTTAATAACTGTTCATCTGCAGGCGCGAGGAATCGAAAGTGAAGACCTAAGCGATGTTTTATGGCGACACCAGAGCAACGTGAGTGAAGCTAATTGACTTAAAGCCACTTTATAGTCATTGATATCGCGACGCAGTAGTTTACATGCAGCCTCTTGATGTGATGACCTCACATTCAGCTTTAACACATTTACAAACTGTCCCATCATGCTTGCTTGCAGCGGTTTGTTAGCATTGTTAGCTGCTAGCTGCCGGCTCTGCCGTCGCCATGTTGAGAGCCCAAAGAGTCAATTAGTCATTTTAAGCCCCTTTGATTAGATTTAAGGAAGGTGACGCACTTTCGTAAGTTATAGAGAACTAAACGGAACTAAAGATTCTATTAATCAAAACCTGAGAGCAGGTGTGTCTCAGTACAACATCGCACTGAAGCTTTTTGTAAATGAGATAATAATTGTAAATAATTACACTTAGAAAGAGATACAAAGCAAGAGAGAAAAACGATATTTGACTTATTATAATGGACACAAAAAATGTCTACAACCTGATATTAAAAATTACGTTATTATTTTGAGATTTATGTGATTATCTTGAGATTCTTTGTCATTATTATGACATGAATGTTATTACATAATTACATAATAGTTATTTTCATGAGGAATTTAGCCCCTATCTCGAGATACTAACTTATATTCTGAGATAATCTAATTAAAGTGACCCACAGGACATTTTTGTCAGCAGACAGAAGTCAATCGACTTAAAACAACACCAACACCATCAGACAAATGAACTTAACTGTGTTCAGGCTTAAAAGCGAAAGCAATGATTTGCTTTTAAAAACAAACAAAAAAGAGGGAAATTTAAATTAAACAAAAATTAACATCCATCCGTCTTCAAACCGTTTATCCTGCACACGGGGTCCCGGGGGGCCGGAGTCAATCCCAGCAGACGCCACCAACCACAGGCTACGCAGAGACAAACAAGCATTCACACACATCACCAGTCACCCTGATCCCCGAACACAAATCCACTATTGCATTAAAATCAGACTTGAGTTGTGGCCCTTTATGCACCAACAGTTGCATGAAGATAAAACTTAGAGCCGCGTAACGTATTGATCTAATATCTAAACTGTTATTGATCGGGGACTTGTGTTTCCCTGCAGGAGCAAATCCAGAATGTTTTCAAAAGAGTAAGTTTTTCAAAACCTTGCTTCTGCTTATTCTGAAATACCGGATTCTCTCTATTAATTCTATGTTAATTCCCTCTGACCTGACGAGTCTCCTGCTTTTCAGTTCCTGTTTCACTACTCTAAAGCTCGCAACTCTGTGGGAGCGCTGCAGCACGAGGTGAGAGGTCAGAGTGTGTAGATGAATGTCTGTTACCACCTTAATACCAATCAACTCTTTCATATATATACATACATGTGTTGTTAATGACTTACATGTTGTATATGTGTATGTGTTTGTTCCTCCTCCAGTCTACATCTGTTCATCCCCTGATGAGACTTTCCCCCAAACTGTCCCAGGGGAGAAAGAGGAAGTTTTTGCTTTTGGTAAGAGATAAGGACACATGACAAGGTGTCATGCTCCTCCTGAGGAAGCTTCCTCTCTTCTTCCTGCTGCTCCTCAGCAGTGCTTCCTCCTCCGCAGGCCTTTTCCTTTGGAATGTGTACATGTATATACAATAATTCTGATGAATATTACTCTTAAAGGGTGAACAGATCACATCGCTGACCAGGAAACTCCTGGTTATTATAAACTATTGTGATAGAAAGCACAATTTTTTACATTTCAGTTTCTACTTGGCTCTGAGTACTACTGTATGTACACTTTGTTAATGTTGTAATGTACTTTTTGCGGTTATAGCTGTATTTGTTGAACCCTCCAGTGTTTTTTATTCTTCTCTTGGGGTCTTTGATCAAACTCTGGCACAATCATCTCCTCTCCCATTCACGTTTATCCGTCCTATTAAAGAAACAAACATAAACTTGAATGAATAATAGAGGAGCCTCCGTGTTCCCTCGGGCAGGAGGTTGATCATCGACTTCTCTCCTCTTCTGGATAGATCTTAATAAACGTCTGCTCTTCTTCCCGGGTAATGAAACAGAGGATCCGAGGTCTGCCGGAGGGGACGCTGTAGAAGAGAAACACCTTCAATAAGCAGAGGAGGGTGGGAGGAGTCAAGCAACGGAAGCCCCGCCTCCACATGCCAATCAACGGGACCGAAAGACACAAAATAAAACACTCATCATTAACTCTTAAGGACGTTTAGGTCACCAGAAGAAATGAAAGGAGAAATGTTTGTGGCAAAGAGGAGAACTCACATTTATTCCCAGATTTAAATGTACATTTTGTGACATAAATATCATGAAACGTAATAAAAAAAGTTACAGTTTTGTCTGATGCTTTTGTAAAAAGATTGGGGGCAAAGCCGTCGGGACGGATATGAAATGTTTACAGGGAGGAAGAGACGAGCTTCAGTCGTCGTCGTCGTCGTCCGAGTCGCTGCTCCTCCCCGAGGGGAGCGAGCTCCTGATGGAGGACATCAGCTTGTCTTCGATCTGCTTCTTGGGGTTCTCCTCCAGGTCCGTCTTCACGGCGCCGGACTCTGACAGCCTCCACTCAAGCTCTGGGGGGGGGTAAGGCGGGTAAGGGGGCAACAAGTAGACGATTACAACATGATCCAACAAATGAGGCAAAGAGTCCTAAAAGAATAAAGTGTGTATCTGCTGATGTGGATCAACTCCTTTACGTCCTCTGAGGGTCCTACCGTCCACTTTGAGGTTCATGCCCCCGAAGACCAGCGGGCCGATGTACTGGGCCTTCATCTCCCCCCCCAGGTACACGAAGACGGTGGGCAGGTTGCGGTCGGGGTAGTTGGCGATGCAGGTGGTGGAGATGGACTTGAGGAACTTGGTCTGGGGGAACTTCCTGGCCAGCGAGCTGAGGTGCTGGTTGATGAGGGTGCACAGAGGGATGCTGGGAAAAGAAGGCGTTTCCACGGATCTGTTAGGAGTTCCGTCTCATAAAGGTCGTCACGAGGGGAGGGGGGGGGGGCATCGCTCCACACTGCTTAAGGGTTTTGCTATTTGGATCGAAGTTTAACACAAAATTAAATTGAAATATTCACAGAAGATAAAAATAACCGGAATTTTTTTTTAGATTTAAGAGGAAATTTATACAAGAGAAAAGAATGAGAAAGAAAGTTATACGGTAAAATAACAAACAAATGTAAGGAAAACCAACACTTACGTTTGTGAAGTAGAACATGTTTGGGCTTCTAATATTACCGGATATAATACTAATAAATCACCAATGTTGTCGATTTACACAAAGGAAAAGAGACAAAAACACTTCCTGACGTTCTCTGAACTGTAGGGAAGAGTTTTAAAAGATTTTATGCGCCAGATGTTTTCTCGTTTTAATGTCCTCATACTCGTTGGACCCCCTACCCGGGTTTGTAGAGGTGCAGCACCACCCAGATGCCGTCTCCGGCCTCGTTGACCTCCTTGATGTAGTCCTGCCCGGAGATCTCCACCATCTCCCCGAAGATGTTCTTCATCTGCGTCGCCTTCCACTCGGCGAGTCGCCTCTGTCTGAGAGGAGTCACACCATCAGAGAGGTGAAAGGCATTATGGGACTTTGACTTGGAAGACACTTACTTGTACATCTCAATGGCAGCTTCGTCGTCTTCACCGAACTCGTCTTCGTTGTCCTCCAGTTCCTCCAGCGTCATGTCCTCGTAGGTTTTAACTGGAGGAACGACAGCCACATGTGATGTTCTGAATCTGACCCTCAGCGATCAGCTAATATTTTAGATAATATACATTATTCTAATGTTCATATTGGCAAAGAAAACTATATGTTTTACGTAGGAGACGTGAATAAAGAAGCCATAAAGAAACAGGTGTTCATCTTCAACGCTGCTTCTCCTACCGACAGACTGCTGCTGAAGAGCCAACTCCTCCTCTTCGTCATCTTTAGGAACCTCTTTAGGAGGAAGAATGCCTTTCTTCCTCAGGATATCGTTCCACTCGGTGTCTTCGTTTGGGTCCTGAACACAAAGCATACGGTTTAAAGCCATAGATGAAGATCAGAACACATTCGTCTTCATCGATAACTAGATGTTGACAGTGGAAAGTGAACCTCCCATGACGAAACATTCGGCCGACAACGACATTTACGCTCCTTCATTCTGCTTCTTTGGGGTTTTATTATGATGGCAACAATAAATAGAAAAAAAATGAATTTTGAACTTTATATAAAATATGCAATAATATATATAATTTATTATACATGTTTATTTTATTTGAGAATATCAAATATATGACCAGGTAAATGTATTTCCAAACAACGAACTTTAATCGGTTTATCCCCAAACAGTTGAACATGTCTCTTTGCGATGAAGCACTTTGCTAGCTAGCTAGCTGGCTAGCTGTCGACAGCTGCTCTGCTAGCTTAAGTTTCTACGCTCTGGCCGGAAGTTGTCTCTACGACCAACACCGACGTCAAACCGTCTCGTTCACGGGCTTCAAACACAAAACGTTTCTAGTTGTGTGAAGTTGACTGACCTGCATTCTGACGGGAAGAAGCTTCCTCTGGAATCACACCGCTGCTCCGCTCACACACACGGAAGCAGAAAGGACCGCCGACGGAACACGTCCGACGGGGAACAAACGGTGGAAATGAGCACGAACCCGTCCGGGATTAAAAGAAAACCCATTTAACTCATTATACAATAAGAGCACAACAACCAATATGTTTTAGGATCACTCGTGTGGCGGCACAGCGAGAAAACCCCTGTTTAAACAGATGAGGAACTCTTCCGTGAAAGCTGGGACAATAATAAAAGGGACACCGACTTCCGGGTGATTCTCAACCTGACCATATAAGGTGTGAGTGCAGCATTCCATTTGTGGCCGCTGAGTAGGAGAGCCAACAGGTGCGACCACGCACGCGCGCACACAAACACACGCGCACGCAAACACACACACTAACCGCTTGGAATTCGCCCGTTTTTTTTCTCGATAGCAGTTGGACCAAGAAAATAGAAAAGTATTTCATGTAAATGTATATGAAATATAGCGAAAAACAAAACTGCAAGACACAATTGAATAAAACAGATTGATACTCAGATAGATTCACAGTGTATGGTGGAAATGTTTATAGCAGAACAGGATTCTCTTCGTGTGAAATCTTTAAGCTCCTCTTAGTTTCACTTGCTTGCCTATTTTTCTACTTCCTCTTCTTCACACCGTTCTGAGTGAAATGAGTATTGGGTTTATATTTATACCCACGTGGTCTATCTCGATCATAGGTGGACGTCCAGCAGCAGCGCAATGACTGCACGTCAATGTGCTTTGATAGTTGGGTTTATGTTCACTAAACATTGAGAAACTAATAAACAAGGCAATCAAAAGAAAACGATTTTTAAGAAAACGCACAGCTTGTTGGAATGTAGTTCTAATGCTGTACATCTATTATTCTATAACAATTGTAATGTTTCGTTCATAATCATCTTGATATGTTATCTGCCTTTTTTATTTGGATGCTTTGGCAACACTGTTTCTTTTCTTTCATATCAATAAAAAACAATGTTATCTTTATTTGTTATGACGGTAGTTATTGTGAAAATAGCATCCTTGTATGAATAAACGAAGATGCAGATTAAAAAGCGGATCTCAATAGGAGGTGAATGTGTAATATTCTTCTACTCTGAAGCCAGGAGCCTTCGTGGGAGAACGAACGTGCCGAGCACCTGAGCGCCCCGCAGCCAATCACAGGGGCCCACAGGCCCCACGCCGGAAGTGGTGCAAGGGAAAAGTTGGCGAAATGTGGCTGTAAAGAAATGAAACGAAGAGCTCCTACTCTGTCCTTTTTCAAGAACCGCGAAGCAGTCTTTGTGTATGCGGCTAACGCGTTTTTACCGCAATACGCATGGATATTATCCTACAACGAGATTGGTAAGATGATCAAATAAAAATTCCAAATATCAAACACCCGATTAAAGAGAATGCAGCGTTTTCTCGTCAGGATTTAGGATCTTTCAGGTTGAACAGATTCAGTTCCAGGTTGAGTCGTTGCTCCGCATAGACGATCTTTGTGCAGCTCCAGCTGCTGCGGCGGAGCAGCAGCCTCGAGGGGAGGAAGCGTGAAGCCTACAGCTGTCCGGGGGGGGGGGGGGGACAGCAGCCCGAGACCCCACCGCTGGAATCAACCAGGGGAAGTGTCTGAGACCCAGGAGGGGCTTTCCTCCGGGTCTCCTGCCCGCGCCAAGAGACCGACAACCAGCAGAGACGATGTGGCTGAACCCGGAGGAGGTCCTGCTGAAGAACGCTCTGAAGCTCTGGGTGACGGAGAGGAGCAACGACTTCTTCCTCCTGCAGAGGAGGAGAGGACACGGGGAGCCCGCGGGACGCATCTCAGGTACCTCGGGGGGGGGGGGGACAGTCCCGTTCAGTCCCGTTCAGTCCCGCTGTGTCCACCAGAGGAGGACACGCGTGCGTCACCCGGGACAATGAAACCGTGTCGAACACTGCGAGAAACGCCGGAGAAACAAGTCCAAAGTTACAAGTAGGCCCGATTCATTGCGCTTACAAAGCACGTCACGGGACGTTTGTCCACTTCTGGTTCTGTTATGATGCTGAGTGCGACGGTTAAACCCGACAGAAATGTGTCAAATGTGTGGTTGTGTTGACGTCCCTCCTTCCTCAAAGAGCAGGATGTAAACCAGCCGGATTTAAATCTGATCCTCACACAACAAACACAAGTGAAAACATACGGGTTTCTGTTTCAGAAGTGGACATCACTTTCTAAATGAAGTGGACATCACTTTCTAAATGAAGTGGACATGTGCAATGTCCAGCTGGTTGATTAGAACAACGTTAAAGTTGCGTGTTTGCCTTTAAAAAACACACCAATCAGACTGAGGCCGCTTTGTGGGGACAGAAGTCTCTCACTTCCTGTTTGGACGTTTGCGTCAGAGATCTGAAGCAGAGTGAGACCTCCGTCCTCCCCTCTGTTTACCCCTCTAACTACACCCAAACCCCACCCAAACTGCACCTGGGTAAATGACCTTTAAACTCGTCTCCCCGCGTGCTTTAGGCCTTCGTTGTGTTGCTTTACAATAGAAACATTTATGCTCCTGCCATGTTTGCTGTTTCCTCTCCCGGCTTCCTCCGGGGGGGGTTTGTTCTGGTGGCTTCTTCACAGCAGCAGTAGGAACTTCCTGTCCGGGGGTTTACGTTGTGTACTTGGTCGTCATGGCGATGGAGGCCTGTCGTCCTCCAGCGTGAACTGAATCCAACGAACGCCTCCGATCGGCTTCCTTTTAACTCACACAAGTCAACAGAAGCATGAGGTCATTTCATTCAGATATTTATTTATAGAACGTGATATTTGTTGATATGGAGTTTTTGAAACGAGAGCTCGACTTGACGATTTCCATTTTATATTTAATACTTGTGCTTCACAATTTTTTGGGGGGAGACAAACTATACTTTTAACTCGACTACATTTCTCTAACAGACATATACAGACGTATTATACACAGACGCGTATATATATATATATATATATATATATATATATAAAACACCGGCATCACTTTATTCAAACCTGACTTCTCTTGTCTTTAATTCTCAAGAGAAAAACAAACGGATAAAAAGAGCAGATCTCAGATCAGCTGCTCCTCGTGTCCACAGACGCGGGTGAAAGTGACCTGACATCCAGATACGTATTTATTCCCCTCCGGGTCTCTGCAGGTCTGCTGGTCGGCGCTCTGGACTCGGTGCTGGACTCCAACGCCCGGGTCTCCCCCTTCAGAATCCTCCTCCAGGTCCCCGGGTCCCAGGTCAGCTGGGTCATCGCCAACGGTGAGCCGGACTCCCCCCCTCCCCCCCCGGGCCTCCCACGGAGACCCCTCTGAGGGGGTGGGCCGTCTGCTGACTCTCTGCTCCTCCTCTGTCCCCCAGGGGCCGCCGCGGAGGAGGTGAGGAGGCACTGGGACTGGCTGGTCCACAACCTGCTGCGCTCCCTCTGCGTGTTCGAGAACAAGGAGGACGTGGCGAGCTTCGTCAGAGGGAAAGTCAGGGTGAGGACGGAGGGGGAGCCCCCCCCGCTGTGGGTTCAGACGTAGCCCCCTGATGAGTAAACCGGTCTGCCCCCCCCCCCCCCCCGTAGGGCCTCATCGCGGAGGAGGTTCGGAGCCGGCAGGCCGCCCAGGAGGAGGAGCCGGAGAAGTTCAGGGAGGCGCTGGTGAAGTTCGAGCTGCACTTCGGCCTCCCCTCGTCGGAGAAGCTGGTGACGTACTACTCGTGCTGCTGCTGGAAGGGCCGGGTGCCGCGGCAGGGCTTCCTCTACCTCAGCATCAACCACGCCGCCTTCTACTCCTTCCTGCTGGGGAAGGAAGGTCCGTACCCCGGAGGGGGGGCTCTGACCTTCAAACCTCTTTTTTTTGGTTTGAACTGAGATTGAGAATCTATCTTTTTTTGCAGTAAAGTTGGTGATTCCCTGGGCGGAGGTGACGTGGTTGGAGCGGGTCTCCGGCGGTCTGATGACGGACGCCGTCCGCATCAGCACGCGCCACCGGCAGAGGGAGTTCTCCATGTTCCTGAACCCGGACGAGGCCTTCGGGGTCATAGGTCAGCTGGCTGACATCGCCCTCAGGAGGCTGCTGGACAGCGAGGGCCTGGAGGTGGACCGAGTCCTGCAGCAGCCCGCCCGCATCACCAAGAGGTCAGTGAGGGCCGGTCCGGCTGCTCCGTTACCACGACAACACGGTTCCAGCTCCGGGACCAGGATGTGAACCGAACGAACCTGGAGGCTGCGGACGGGGGCTTTAGTATGTGACAAAGACCCAGATGTGTCGTCATTCCTTTGGTTAGAAGGTTCCATCGAGGGAAACCACAAACCTGATTTCCGTTAGATGTTTAGATAAAACGGGGTTTGTCGTTTCTGTCTTTAAAAACCTCAAACCATAACAGGAAGTGGAGCTGAACAGCAGATTCAGACGGGTGGCAGACCGCGACGAGAGATATTCCTGTTCTCGCAACCGGCGAACAGGAAGTCAACATACTCAGGGTGTAGTCACTTCCCGATATAGAGACCTGTCAATCAGCCTGTAGCCCCGCCCCGGCCTAAAGCATCCCCTGCTTTATGGTCAGTCTGACTCTAAATAGACCATCATTTAACAAATGAACTTCACGCTGTGTTGACGACTTGAAACTAGACAATGAGACCATGAACTCGTGTCCACTGAGGGAATAAATCCAGAAAGAAGTAGAGTCATTTCCTCATAGACGTCTATGGGAGCAGAGGAGTCGCCCCCTGCTGGCTCGTTGCACAGAACGCAGCTTAAACACGTGAAGCTTTATCTTTACTTTACACATCCGTTGGTTGATCCGTGGGTTCAAACAAAAGGGGGCTAAGGGGTCCTTTGTGTTGTCTTCAGGCGCCTCACTCTCTGCCCTCCCCTCAGGGTCCTGGAGGAGCAGGCGCTGAGGGAGTACGTCCTGGCCCTGTTCAGGCTCCCTCGCAGCGAGCGTCTCCACGAGGTGGCCCCGTGCTCGGTGTGGACCCCCCACGCCCGCTGCCACACGGCCGGGACCCTCTACGCCACCGACGGATACCTGTGCTTCTCCAGCCGGGAGGAGGCCGTCTGCATGCTGCTCATCCCGCTGTCCGAGGTACGTGTCCGTCTGTCCGTCTCAGGTTCAGGAGTCACAGATGTAAGCGGCTCATTAGCAGCTGCCACAATGTGTGTGACTTATTGTACGGAGCAATTTATATAATAATAAATCACTTATTTATATAATGCAATATGAATGTAGTTACTGCGACCAGACACCCGTCCTGTTTACTTTAAGGACTCTTTCGGGGGTGTCTCCCCCCCCCCAGGTGTTGTCCATAGAGAAGGCGGAGAGCACCGCCCTGCTCCCCAACCCCGTCATCGTCAGCCTGCGCACCAAGAAGGCCTTCCAGCTGATCGAGCTGCCGGCCCGGGACCAGCTGGTGGAGAACGTGGGCTCCAGACTGAGGGCGCTGCAGTGGAAGAAGTCTGCGTTCCGCAGCCGGAGGGACGGCAAGAGGAGCGCGGTGAGCCCCCCCTTGTATCTGTAAAAGAATAGTGTGCAATAGAAAATGATTATTATTTTCTAATTTGGTTGTTTATAAATGTATATATTTTATTTAGACCTCTTTTATTTTCTTACTCTTTTACAGATTTCTTTGGTATTTTTTATAGTGTTGTTGTGTCTCGACAACGACGTGCAACAAAGGTCCAAATGTACTTTGACTGACTTCTCTTTGACATTCTGCTATTTTACGCGGCGGCTTTTTCTTCATCCAATAGACGAGACTCCGTTAAAAGCCTGAATCAAACTGCTTCTCGTGTTCGAATGAACTGCTCCTTCTAAACCCCTCACGCTCAGAGCGCCCCCACCCCTTACTACACCTTCTGCTACGACACCGCCCCCGCCGACGAGGACGAGATGGAGGAGCAGGTTCTGCGCAACACCGTCAACAGCGAGGCCCTGATGACGGCGTTCCACCAGAACCAGCGCGGAAGCGACGGCACGCAGGTGGAGGAGACGAGTCCCCTCAGGACCCCCCCCCCCGCTCGCCAACGCCGGCGCGGCCGCCTTAACAGTGTCTGATGGTGTTTCGCAGAGGGCGGAGCGGGAGAAGGAGCGGCGGTGGGAGGAGCATTTCTCGGAGTTCGGTCGCGGCGTCCACATGTTTCCGCACGGACAAGATGCACCGGCTCGTTGCCATGGGGATACCGGAGTCGCTGCGGGGGGAGCTGTGGATGACCCTCTCGGGTAGGAGGCGCGTGTGAAGGATTCAGTACAGGAAGCAACCTCCTTAAATGTCCTAGTCCTAGTCACCACCCCCATAAAAGAGGGGATGCTTTAGGGCGGGGCTAATGGGATTGGCAGGTGTCAATCAGGGACGTATGCGCCCGCTCTACGTCCATATATGGTCATTTCCCGTTAACTGGTTCCATTTAAAACTGAGTGAAACGTCTGTCGACCTTAGCAGTTAGCGACCTGAGCTAGTTAGCATTAGCTGTCATAGCGCCGCGTGCGTGGCTTTGACCGGTTGCGCCCGTGGTTGTTGTTGCAGACGCGTGCTCGGAGGTGGAGGCCCACCAGGGTTACTACGCCAGCGTGGTGCAGAAGTCGATGGGCCACAGCAGCTTGGCCACGGAGGAGATCGAGCGAGACCTCCACCGCTCGCTGCCGGACCACCCGGCCTTCCAGAACCCCACCGGCATCGCCGCGCTGAGGCGCGTCCTCACCGCCTACGCCCACCGCAACCCCAAGATCGGATACTGTCAGGTAGGGCGGTGGTACGAGTATTAGTAGTAGAATGAGGAGGTGGACCGAATCATAAATATCATTTATATTTAACAGTTTTGTAATTAACACATAAAGCAAATCCTACTCACTGATAAGACATGACAAACCTTAAAGGATAACTATTATATTTTCACAGGTGTAGTAAAAAAACACAAAGCAAACTCATTTGGTTTGTAGGTAGCCACACGTTTGGCCTTATGCCCGCTGCCATCTTGTTTTTTTGCAACCAGTGAATAAGAAGTGACCATTTATGGACTGAGGAGGACGCAGTATACGTCTCTGATAGAGACCTGTCAATCAGCATGTAGCCCCACCCCAAAGCATCCCCAGCTTTATGGCGTATTAGAGATCTGTCAATCAGCATGTAGCCCCGTCCAGTGACTCTACATGGACCATCATTCACTGAATGAACATGACGTTGCATTGAAGAATACTTGAAAGTAGAGACTTAGACTTAAACTCGGGAGCAGAGGAGTTTACCCCCTGAATGTCACCACAGAGAAGTAGAGTCATTTCCTCATAGACGTCTATGGGAGCAGAGGAGTCGCCCCCTGCTGGTCACTACAGAGAAGTAGAGTCATTTCCTCATAGACGTCTATGGCAGCAGAGGAGTCGCCCCCCTGCTGGTCACTACAGAGAAGGTAGGAGTCATTTCCTTCATAGACGTCTATGGGGAGCAGAGAGAGTCGCCCCCCTGCTGGTCACTACCAGAGAAGTAGAGTCATTTCCTCATAGACGTCTATAGGAGCAGAGAGTCGCCCCCTGCTGGTCACTACAGAGAAGTAGAGTCATTTCCTCATAGACGTCTATGGGAGCAGAGGAGTCGCCCCCTGCTGGTCACTACAGAGAAGTAGAGTCATTTCCTCATAGACGTCTATGGGAGCAGAGGAGTCGCCCCCTGCTGGTCACTACAGAGAAGTAGAGTCATTTCCTCATAGACGTCTATGGGAGCAGAGGAGTCGCCCCCTGCTGGTCACTACAGAGAAGTAGAGTCATTTCCTCATAGACGTCTATGGGAGCAGAGGAGTCGCCCCCTGCTGGTCACTACAGAGAAGTAGAGTCATTTCCTCATAGACGTCTATGGGAGCAGAGGAGTCGCCCCCTGCTGGTCACTACAGAGAAGTAGAGTCATTTCCTCATAGACGTCTATGGGAGCAGAGGAGTCGCCCCCTGCTGGTCACTACAGAGAAGTAGAGTCATTTCCTCATAGACGTCTATGGGAGCAGAGGAGTCGCCCCCTGCTGGTCACTACACAGAATGCAGCTTTAAGACGTGAATTTTAAAGAACCAGAGGTTGACGCTCTCTAATATAAACGATTGTTGGTAAATCATAAATATAATCAATTACATGTGTGAAAATATTGAAAGTTCAAAAGCTGTGAACCAAGCACCTCGTGGCGGTGACCTCTGACCCCGGTGTGTTGTCTCCTCCCTCTCAGTCGATGAACATCCTGGCCTCGGTGCTGCTCCTCTACACCAAAGAAGAAGAAGCCTTCTGGCTGCTGGTGGCCGTTTGTGAGAGGATGCTGCCGGACTACTTCAACCGCAGGGTCATAGGTGAGAGGTCGGAGGTCAAGGGGCGGCCTCCAATCGGCTGCTCCGCGGTTAAAGTGGTTTTGTGCCTCCTGGCTGTTGATCGGACAAACAGATTATTTATGTCCTCATTTCCTGTGTTTGTGAAGCACTTTGCTTCCTCTTCCTTTGAGTAATGGATGTTTGTGTTCTTATATTTATATTGGGAGCTCTGATTTTAGGGCAGCAGTTATTTCATATTTCTATTAGTCTAAACTGAGAGACTTTACGGAGCCCATTAGTGAGCAGAGTTTGGATGATTCTTCTTAATGTGATCACGCAATTGTTCTTATTATATTAAAATAATGAAGCTTTTCTTCTTAAGCAGCAGATTGTATTTGTGTCAATAAACAACACTGCTGCCATCTAGTGATCGAGGATCTTATACACTAAACAATACTGAAATACTTCACTCATTTATTTAGCAAGTAAAGCGATTTTTACTTTTATAAATGAGCAAATAGAAAGATAAGATCAACGTGATGGACTTTTTCAAAATGTAAAATAATTAGAAATAATAAGAATTAAAGAATGACTACTGCATGTAACCACAGTTAAGTGAATAAAATAAGACGTTTAGTTTATTATGTTTGTGGTTTTAAATTAAAGAATACTGTAAATAACAATAACTGATCTGATTTATTGTGATTTGAGTAAACGAAGAACCGTATAAATGTTCTTGTTATTTTTCTGACACCATTAATTTCATATTTGAAAACGCGATACTACATTTAAAGAACTATTATTGTTTCTTAAGTCAGCAAATGAATGAAAATCTGTAATTATCCGACGCGCATCCCGACCCTTTGCCCCCCCCAGGCGCCCAGGTGGACCAGTCCGTCTTCGAGCAGCTGATCCGGGAGCGTCTGCCGGAGCTGGCGGAGCGCGTGCCGGACGTCTCCGCCCTCTCCTCCGTCTCCCTCTCCTGGTTCCTCACGCTCTTCCTCAGCGTGCTGCCCTTCCTCAGCGCCGTGCGCGTGGTCGACTGCTTCTTCCTCCACGGCATCAACGCCATCTTCCGCCTGGGCCTGACGGCGCTGGAGGCCAACGCCGCGCTGCTCTCCGCCTGCACGGACGACGGCCAGGCGCTTATGATCCTCGCCAGGTGTCCCGGCTTCTCTTTGAATATACGACATGACGTCTATATACGTTTATACCAACATGTGATCGATCACCACGGAGGAGCAGGAAAAAGACAGCAGCTGGCGCCACGTGTTATTTCCTGTGGGCGTGGCGATGTCTATGAAGCTCTCTGAAGGACACGCCTCTTGTCTCCGTGCAGTTTTCTGGACCAGGTGGGAAGCGAAGAGTCGCCATGTCCTCCGTCCTCGCCGCCTGCTGCCGCCGAGGACGCAAGCACCACCCATAACAGCAGCAGCATCGGCGACGCCCCCGCTGTGAGACACACAAACATCACCGACCTCATCAACGAGTCCCACGAGGTCCGACCCGCTAACCGTTTTCATCAGGTTCATTAATGTTCAGTCATAGAAACGATAATCAGCGAGTCTGAGGCGGGAAGGTGGAGGTGACGGAGGACTTGTCCTCCAGGTCGGTCTTAACCTCCCGGTGTCTCCTTGTCCCCCCTTCAGCGATTCGGAGACCTCACGGTGCGGCAGGTGGAGGGTCTGCGGTGCCGCCACCGGATCCGAGTGCTGCAGGCGCACGAGGACACAACCAAGGACAACGCCGTGAGCAGAGCCCCGCCCCCAGACCGCTACAGGTAACGCCCCAAAGTCCGCCTCCTCTCACACCTCCTCCTCCTCTCCTCCTGCAGCTGAGGTTGGTGACTCCAGATGTCTCCATCTCTGCAGAGACCCTGTCCGCCGTCTACGACCTCTTCAAGGTATCTCCTCTTCCTCTTCCTCTCGATGTCTCTTCTTCTATGTCTCTATGTTTCCTTCCATGTCTCCTCCTCCATGTCTCCATGTCTCTTCTTCTATATCTCTATGTCTCCTCCTCCATGTCTCTATTTCTATGTCTCTATGTCTCCTTCCATGTATCCTCCTCTATGTCTCTATGTCTCCTCTTCCATGTCTCCTTCCATGTCTCTATGTCTCCTCTTCCATGTCTCCATGTCTCCTCTTCCATGTCTCCTCTTCCATGTCTCCTCCCCCATGTCCCCCTGTCTCTTTTTCCATGTCTCTATGCCTTCTCCTCCATGTCTCTATGTCTCCCTCTTCCATGTCTCCATGTCTCCTCTTCTATGTCTCCTTCCATGTCTCCTCCTCCATGTCTCCATGTCTCTTCTTCCATGTCTCTATGCCTCCTCTTCCATGTCTCTTTGTCTCCTCCTCCATGTCTCCTTCCATGTCTCTATGTCTCCTCTTCCATGTCTCCATGTCTCCTCTTCCATGTCTCCTCTTCTATGTCTCCTTCCATGTCTCCTCCTCCATGTCTCCTTGTCTCTTCTTCCATGTCTCTATGTCTCTTCTTCCATGTCTCTATGTCTCTTCTTCCATGTCTCTATGCCTCCTCTTCCATGTCTCTTTGTCTCCTCCTCCATGTCTCCTTGTCTCCTCCTCGATGTCTCCTTGTCTCCTTCCATGTCTCTATGTCTCCTCTTCCATGTCTCCATGTCTCCTCCTCCATGTCTCCATGTCTCTTCTTCCATGTCTCTTTGTCTCCTCCTCCATGTCTCCTTGTCCATATCTTCTCGTCCATATTTCCTCGTCAATGTCCCCCTGTCCCGTCTGGCTTGCGTCTCCTCCCCCTTTTAGACGGAGCACTTCATCAGCCTGTACTGGGGCGACGGCAGCTCGGCGGCGGCTGCGGAGGCGGCGGCGTGGCGACCCGGCGACTCGTGCCGCTCCCACGTGGAGCGCCAGTACCGGCTGGACCGGCCTCAGTTCAAGAGCCTCTACGGGCTGCTGGCGCCGTGGCCCGGCGACGCCCACCAGCACGTCGACACGCTGGCCAACCGCACCTTCACCCTCCTGGACCAGGACGGGGACAACCTGGTGACCTTCAGGGAGTTCACGGGCTGGCTGGGTGAGTGGGGGCGGAGGGGGCGGAGGTTCAAATGGATGATAAAGGGACCCTTTCATTCATCTTGTCTCTCTCTTTCAGACACGTTGTACTGTGAGGAGCTGAATGAGAAGATACGGCTGCTGTATCGTCTGCACATCCCACCAGGTCCTTGACGATGTGCCATCGGGGCATCAGCCCGCTGTCATGAACACACATCTTACTAATGAAGACGTGTTTGTCTGCAGCTCTGACTGAGAGCGAGGACGACCCGTCCCTGATGAAGAGCCCCCCGATGTCCACCAACAGACCCTCCGTGTGACCCTGCCCTCTGGTTGGTGCAGCGCGAGGCAGGGTGGGGCTGAGGGAGGCGGAGTTACGGGCGGGCTCGCTCTCATGTGACTCGCTGTGGTTCCAGGTGCTGCAGCAGAAGAGCCGGACTACCTGGAGCAGCTGAAGCAGATGCTGAAGGACCTGGGGAGGGAGAGGGAGAAGGACGTGGAGAAGCCTGTGCCGCTCATGAACCAGGTACGCGACCACCTGGCGTCATGTCATATCTCCCGCTTATCAGACGCGGAGTGAAGAATTTCAACATTTCTGACTCGGGCGTATTTTAACTTTGACATTTCCCCCTCTTGGTCCACAGAGCCAGTTCATCCAGTTCTGTAAGACACTCTACAGCATGTTCCACGGCGACCCCGAGGAGAGCGAGCTCTTCCAGGCCATCGCCCACGTGACCAGCCTCGTGCTGCAGATCGGCGAGGCCGGACACCGCGGCTCGGGGTCAGAGGTCGCCCGAGACGACGGCGAGTGGACGGTGAGCTTCGCGCAGATCGTTGCGTCGCTGCTCACCGAACAGACGCTGGTGAACTTCTTCGAGAAGCCCGTGGATCTGAGCGCCAAGGTGGCGGCGGCCAAAGAGAAGCAGTACCACCAGAGGGCGGGTCTGCTGAGTCTGCAGCGAGCGCCCAGGTGAGCTCGCCAGGTGAGCTCGCCAGGTGACCTCGCTCTCCCTCTGAGACCCAACGTCAGCGTGACGGAGAGAAAGCTTCACGTGACTCGCGACACAAAGGAGGTTTATTTTTCCCCCAAAAAGACATTTTAAGCCAAAAAGTCATTGAAGGAAACGATGGTCGTTTTCTTTGAAGCTGGAGAAACTCTGGATGTGATCATCTGACGTCTAAATGACGAAAGAAAAATGTGTTTTATAAGCTGTGACTAACAACTCTATTAAAGCTGGTTGAATGACTTTTATAACTAACTATACTTAAGCCGTAAAAACCTTCCGGGTTCTGAAGCTTCTCTGGTGACTCATTCATAAGGTCATTGACAACGAGTGAACGGTAGCGTCTGATTTGATGACCTATAAACATCATAAACAGCCAAAGTTGGTAAATAATCTGTGATAAAAATTGAGATTTAAATGCTGTTATTATAATCAAAACACGCCTTTGATTGTAATAAATGAATATGGATGGAAATCAAAGGTCAAATTAATGTTGTACTGGAGAAGATAGTTGAGATCTGGCAACCCAAAAAATGTGTTTTTGTCCTTGTTTATACTGATGAAGATGTTGATTCCAACTCACCGTGTGAAACAGTTATTATTATTAGTATTATTATTATCATAGAAGCTTGAAGTTGAAGAGATGAAGCGACAAATCCACACTGCAGATCATTTCCACTGATTTTGTTTAATTTTCTTTAATATCTAATGGTTTCAAATGTACCAAATGTAAAATAAATTATATTTTTTAAATGATTTGAGAAAATAATCTAGAATTACAGATCTTTGAGAAAAAGACCACAGCTGGAATTCCACTTTGAAATAAAATACATTGTTTAAAGAAGTTGCATCTTTTTTCTCTTGAAGCAGACATATATATTTATATTAAATGGATCATAACTCACCTCTAATATATATTTCATAGTCATGTGAAAACCTTTTTATTTAACCTTAAAACTACATTTTACAGCTTACGTGTGAACACATCACAATAACGTTAACATGTTCTGGTTTTTACTGAGCAGAACCTGAACGCACCACAAGCTAACTGAGGAGAATCTGGTTAGCGAGCGGCTAACGCTACTAGCTAAACCTCCCGCTAATCTAAACGCCGTTTGTTTACAATGTCACATGATCAGAGACAGATCTAGATAGACATGTTCAATAATACGAGGACATGTGAGTGCTGCAGGAGCTCGTGTGCTTTATTGATCCAAACAAACACACATTCAGGAGGGAAAACTGAGACTCTTCATCGCTGAGGAAGACGCTGATGGACTCCTCCTGCGTTTCGTCATCACACTCGTTTCTTTTTCTCTCCTCAGTTTTCCATTAACGCCGATAATCGGAAACTACTTGAGAGGAGAATGTTTCATATATGCTAGTATTTATGTTCTATAAATATACAAAGGGCGCGTTGGCGAGAGTTTCAAAATGTCGATTAGAAGTAGTGTGGTCAGAAATATTATGTACGTTACATCTACAGGACACGTGAAAGATAACGGTCACGTCGAGGGTAACGCTCACATGGAAGATAAGGGTCAAATGGAAGATAACGGGTCACATGGAGGATAGCGGTCACATGGAGGATATCGGTCACATGGAGGATAACGGTCACATGGAGGATAACGGTCACATGGAAGATAAGAGTCACATGGAGGATAACGGTCACATGGAGGATTGCGGTCAAATGGAGGGTAACGGTCACATGGAAGATAAGAGTCACATGGAGGATAACGGTCACATGGAGGATTGCGGTCAAATGGAGGATATCGGTCACATGGAGGGTAACGGTCACATGGAAGATAAGAGTCACATGGAGGATAACGGTCACATGGAGGATTGCGGTCACGTAGAAGATAACATACACGTGGAGGATAACGGTCACATGAAGCACTACAAACTACGTGGCCGGGGTCGGGGCGTCTCTCAGATGGCCTCCACGTAGTTGGCGGGCAGCATGCCGGTCTTGCCGGTGCGCTGCACCGTGCCGTACATCCAGCCCTCGTCGATGGCCTGCACGTTGACGATGACGTCGCCGTCCTTGAAGGAGACCTCGTCGTTGTCTGCGGCGCCGTAGTCATAAATGGCGCGCACCGTTTTCTGTGGAGAGGTCAATCAGAGAGGGAGAGGTCAAGAGTCAAGGGATCAGGACGGTGATATTTAGTTTTCTTCTTGCTGACAGAAATTAAATGAATTATTGTCGTTCTCTGCGTCAAGATTTTTTAGGACAAAATAAAGTGAATGTTTACCGCAACACGTCTCACCCCGGTGGTGGAGGGGTGTGTGTGTCTGTGTGTCTCACCCCGGTGGTGGAGGGGTGTGTGTGTGTGTGTCTCACCCCGGTGGTGGAGGGGTGTGTGTGTGTGTCTCACCCCGGTGGTGGAGGGGTGTGTGTGTGTGTGTGTGTGTGTCTCACCCCGGTGGTGGAGGGGTGTGTGTGTGTGTGTCTCACCCCAGTGGTGGAGGTGTGTGTGTGTCTCACCCCGGTGGTGGAGGGGTGTGTGTGTCTCACCCCAGTGGTGGAGGGGTGGGAGGGGACCGAGGACACGGTCGTCTGCTGCGTGGCCACGGACGAGGACCTCTGCTGCAGCTCCACCGTCTTAGCGTGTTGGTAGCCTGTAACACATGTGCACATGAGACCGTTAAGCAGCCCGGTGGGTCGATGCCGCACACCAAGGCGTCTCCGCAGGACGTACCGGCGGAGGAGGCCATGAAGCCGTTGCTGTAGAGGGACATGTGGTGGTCCGGGTCCTGGGACAGCTCGGACTTCTCGTCCCCCAGGCCGCTCAGGGCGCTGGTGGAGCGGGAGTGCTCCTTACTGCGCCGCTGCGCCTGGACTGAATATTGAAACACGACTCCACCATTACCAGTCAATTAAGATCGTGAATCCTTCAGTAGTGATTTATGAATCGAAACATTATTAATTAAAGGTTTTAAGGCTTCGTGTGAACAATTTATATGTATACACTTTCATTTACTGTGGGTAATTTAAATATTATTACACATAATATGATTTACATTATATATGATAACAAGCTTTTGAAATGTATTTATATTTGTATATTGTATTTATATTTGTATATTGTATTTATATTTGGCATATAGATGCTGAACTTGAAGCTAATACTTTACAAGGTCACTGAGATGACGCCATTTGTATTCATTTGGATATCTCTTACTGTTTATTACCATTTAATACGCATCGATTGGTCTCTTCTCACCTGACATCATGTGGAGGCTTCTGGACTGGATGTTGTCCTCAGCCGGGTCGTAGTCGAACACGGAACCGGGGTTCGTCCGCCAAACACGCAGATCTACGGGTCAGAAACAACATCAGTCAGTTTGTTCCTCCCATGATTTATGTATTAAGCCCTTAAGGATTGATGGGAAAAATCATCTGTCCGTGGGACAATAGAAATATGGATTATCACGTTTTAAATAGATTCAGTTGAGAGAAATAGAAGATATTGCTGATGTTCTGATAATTTGAGTTATGACGTTATTGTTTGGATTCGGGTGCAATTTATGAGAACGTTATTTGCATTTTCTCTCCATATGAATAAAAGTATTTGAATTTGAATAAAATATGAATTTCTTTTCAGTTCAAATATCTACAACAACCGAGCTGATGCTAACGTTAGCTTAGCTTGTTTCATTGATAACCTAACAAAGACACATCTAACGTTAGCTTAGCTTCTTCTAAAAACAACCAGATGTCTGATTATAAATCTTCCATTCAGTTAAAAAACAGAAGCAGATAATAGTGAATTAATGATCTAATAATTTTATCATTCAAAAGTTAGTTCATGAGACGATATAACACAGATTTAAACGTGTTGTAAACAATCGGGATAATGTTAACACACTAACTCTAATCAAAGCTGCACAATATAACTTTTTACAAAGTCTGTTTTTGTTCTTTCTTTTTCCATTTCTTTTTCAGTTCAAATGTCTCTCAGTGGATTTTTTAAGTACAGTCTTCATTTGCCTGCTTTGTGTGTGACACCACAAACAAACAACAGCTAGCTGCTAAGAGCTAGCCGCCAGGAGCTAGGAGCTAGCCGCCAGGAGCTAGGAGCTAGGAGCCAGGAGCTAGGAATTAGCCGCTAGGAGCCAGGAGCTAGGAGCTAGCCGCCAGGAGCTAGGAGCTAGGAGCCAGGAGCTAGGAGCCAGGAGCTAGGAGCTAGGAGCTAGGCACTACCGGTGGTTGTCTCCTGGTCGTGCTCGATGGCGCGCCTCCTCTCCATCTCCACCACGCGCCTCTGGATGCCGCGGTAGTTGATGTCGCTGAAGTCCTGCGTGTTCTTCTTCACACGCTCCGTCACCGGGTCGGAGGTGGTGGGGGTGAAGCTGCCTTTGCTCTTCTCGAAGTCCTCGTGGTACCTCACCTGAGAAGACCCAGGACCACAGACGTTTAAGGGACATTCAGAGGGAGGTATGTAGTTAATTAGGACCTGAAGCTACGAATTGTATTCAAAGGACGTCAGTGTTCATCTCTTATTATTATCAGCTATGACCTTCACTGTTATTTACGAGAGGAATCAACCCGATAAGGTGACTTTGTTGCTCCACAAGTTAACCAATCATGTTCTGAATGTTTGTTTTGAAAAAATCTATAAACGTTTTAATTATTAATTATATAATTTAATTTAATTATTTTCTCATGAAAAAGCATGGATACGGTAAGGTTCTTGATAAAACAACTCTTTTTACCCACAAGCCACCACGGTTTCACAGCTGACGTTGTGTGTGCATTCTGCTCTCACACTAGTGTCACTAAGCGCACGCTCTGTCCTTTAAGGGGAACTGCCTCTCATTTGTGACCTGTTGTTGAAAACAGAAACAAGACGGCGGCCTAGTGGCATCGGCAGGAAGTAATCCGTGAACTCTGACCCCAGAAATGATGCGCTGGGTCTCCCTCACGCGCCTCATCTCAGGTGTGTCCAGCACGAAGGCGGCCTTTCCCTGCACCTGCTTACGGAAGCTGTCAGAGTACAGCACCTGGTGGGGGGGGGGAGGGGGAGAGAGGGGGAGGAGGGGGAGGACACGCTGTGAGCTGCCCAGAGGTTCACAAGGCAGCTGTTAGCGGCACAGAGGCCGGACACACACACACACACACACACACACACACGTGGAATGAGGTGGGGGGGCGATGGGGGGGTTACTGGGATCTGAGGCGGATGAATTAGCAGAGATTCTTTTTTTGAGGATGAATTATTAAGACAAAAACAAGATAACGTTCCCAGTCTCTAACGGGAGGAAGATGAAGAGGAGCAGAAGTTAAGGTGAGATGAATAATTAATAGGATAACCAGAGGCAGTTAGGACGGGGTTAACGTATAGAGGGGGGGGGGGGGGGGGGGGGGCAGAACACATCCTCAGGAGAAGACGTCCCGGAGGCTGTTCTCAAAGTACCGAGCTAATGTTTTCTTGGTTCCTTTTGACCCGCTCCATCTCCGGGGTAAACACCACGGGGGTCCCCTTGGCTGAACTGTCTCTATACAACACCTACAGGACAGAAGCACAGAGCCAATCAGAGGCTGAGACACACACACACACACACACACACACACGAACCCTCTGAGCCCGCCGGAGCTTTATTGTCCTCGTTTATTCAAATTGTCTGATTAAAACCAACGTTGGCGCTAAAGAGATTGTGTAATCTTTTTAATTTGAAGTATGAAGATCGATGGAATGTTTCACGGCTGAACGGAGAGCAGAGACAAATAAACACATGTAACTTCTTATCGCTGCAGTTCGACTTGGACGTCATTCTCTCCGTCCGACGTCCAGCGAGACGCGTCTGGGGGCTCAGAGGGTCAACGTGGACGTCAGAGGACAGAGTGGTCGTACAGAGCCCCCCCCCCCCCCCCCCCCTGCTGGAAGGAACACATCAACCACTTCAAGGGAGATTTAGTGGGAATGAAAGCTGTGGGTTAGAAGGAGACCACGCGGCCCCCCAGGGAGGGCCCGACCGGAGGGTGAAGGTGACAGATGCAGGCGGAAGAGAAATGAAGGGTCAAAGTGGTGATGAGGCTTGTGAATGGGGGGGTCGCAGGAGGGGGGGGGGCACTACTATCCACTCTGTTAGCGCCACACGTCGTGGATTCTGCTACCGAGCTGATGTTCTGCTGCGTCTGTTTGACCCGCTTGACCTCGGGCAGGTCCGGGATGGCCGTGCCCCGACCCGGAGAGTCCTTGTATTTTATCTTTAGGTGTGGGGGGGGGTCCAAAGAGAAAAGAGCAGGAAAGAGACAATCAGACAGACATCGGGAGACGGGGAGCAACACAGCAGAGACACAAAGACACTTTCTTCTGAGGAAGGGCCCCTTGTCGCTGTAACATCTGCATCTAACATCTGGATGCTCAGGGGAGCGAGAGGAAGGGGGGTGGGGGGGGGGGTACCGTGCTGATGTTGCGCTGATTGCGTTTGACCCGCTCCATCTCGGGGGTCCCCGATACCGACGTCCCGTGTTCCACTCCCACTTTGTACTGAATCTTTTGGAAGGAGACAACACGGGAAGAAGTCAAAGACGGGAGGAAACGCACTCGGGGAGGATTAGTTTCATCAAAGGTGGAGACTTTATTTGGGACGTTCGGGTCAATGGAGGCTGCAGATTGATGGAGTTAAGATGGAGGAGGAAGCGGGAGAACAGGGAAAGCTTCTTCAAGGCTGCGGTCGAAAAAGGCACGAGATCTTTACACACGGAGATTTATAATGATTATTGAGAATTAGTTTCCTACAATCATTCATCACTTCGTGTTCAAAGTAAATAAAGAACCTGAAGCTAAAGGACGGCGTCTTCGCTCTGATTAATGATGCCATTAGCTTGTGTAAGATGAACGCGCCGATCGTGTTGCGTCACTTTAAATGTAAAGAGGAGAATTATGGGTCGGTATCATCTGCTTTCCTTTCGTGAAGGAAGGGCCGGTGTTTCCTATGCTGAAGGAGCTAGGAAAGGAAGCATAGAAGCACACAGCTCTTATCACGGAGGAAGCTTCGCCCGCAGCCTTCGGCTCTTTAGTAGGAGGTCAGAGGGCGTTGTGGCGAGATGATTTTAGGGGGAGGGGGGGTCATTAAAGGGTCACTTCTAGTCCTTCTACCGAGCTGATGTTCTTCTGGGTTTCTCGGACCCGCTTCACCTCGGGGAGGTCTGGGATGGACGTGCCGCGGCCCACTGACTCCTTGTACTGAATCTGAGGCACAAACCACAGAAACACAGTGAGGCGGACGAGTCGTGAAGGAGGGGGGGGGCAGAAGTAGGGTAGGGTCTCTCTCTCGGGGGGGGGGGTACCGTGCTAATGTTGTGCTGATTGCGTTTGACTCGCTCCATCTCGGGCGTCTCTGAGACCGACGTCCCTTGTTCCACTCCCACTTTGTACTGAATCTTTTGGAAGGAGACAACACACGAGAAGAAGTCAAACACTCAAACGCTGATTAGGTTTCCCGAGGTGAGAGGGAAAGACATTCGGGGGAAAGGAGCTGATTTTGGGGGGAAAAATAGGAGGAAATTTGTTCTCAAGAACACTCAGAATAACGCCGACCCTTATGAGAAGAAGGCTTTATGATGGATCTCGGTAGGAGAAACGGAAACCAGGAAACCCTGAGGTGCAGGGTCCATTTTGGGACAGAGAGTTCAGAGGCCGTTTTGGAGGAGATGGATTTTAAAGGGGGGGGGGGGGGTCATTAAAGGGTCACCGCAGTGCTTCTACCGAGCTGATGTTCTTCTGGGTGTCTCGGACCCGCTTCACCTCGGGGAGGTCTGGGATGGACGTGCCGCGGCCCACCGACTCCTTGTACTGAATCTGAGGCACAAACCACAGAAACACAGCGGGGCCCCCCGGGGGGACACGCACACGCCGTTAGTGAAGCCACGTCGTGGACGAAGATGAATCCGGCTCAGGAGGAATGGTCAGTTAATCAGAAATAAACCTTCTGTTAAAATAATAGAAGGAATCTGTGTTGTGTTACAGATGTGGAGAGACCAGCTGTGGCTCCCTGGTCTCCAGACATGAGGGGGATTATGAGGGGTGAAGGGTCACTCTGGGGGGGTACCGTGCTAATGTTCCGCTGGTTGTGTTTAACTCTCTCCATCTCGGGGGTCTCGGGCAAAGACGTTCCTCCTCCCACCTCCTCTTTGTACTGAATCTTTACATGAAAGGAGGTAATTAGCCTCATTTGTGATACACAACGCACACTGAGGACACACACTGGGGACACACGGAGGACACACTGAGGACACACTCTGAGGACGCACTCTGAGGACACACACTGAGGACGCACTCTGAGGACACACACTGAGGACGCACTCTGAAGACACACACAGGGAACGCACTCTGAGGACGCACTCTGAGGACACACACTGAGGACGCACTCTGAGGACACACACTGAGGACGCACTCTGAAGACACACACAGGGGACGCACTCTGAGGACGCACTCTGAGGACGCACTCTGAGGACGCACTCTGAGGACGCACTCTGAGGACACACACTGAGGACGCACTCTGAGGACGCACTCTGAGGACGCACTCTGAGGACACACACTGAGGACGCACTCTGAGGACGCACTCTGAGGACGCACTCTGAGGACACACACTGAGGACGCACTCTGAAGACACACTCGGAAGACACACACTGAGGACGCACTCTGAAGACACACACAGGGGACGCACTCTGAGGACGCACTCTGAGGACGC